AAATGAAAAACTCAGAATTCACATACAATTGTTTATTGTATTGAGTATAAACATAGAAGATTTAAAATGTTTCTTGTATGTCGAATTCAAATATATAAAAACAGTTTATTTTTCGATAAAAGGTATGAGTAGATTAGAAAAAGAGACATCTACCGAAAATATGTGAAAAAAAGGAAAAAACAAAAATCTAATACACACGCAGTACATTCCACCCGACGGCCTCGCCTGTTTCGAATCCCTTCCTATCACCCCCTGTTCTTTATGTCCTTCTGTCCCTCGCACTCCCCGCCAGTGGTCGCCTGTTCCCCTAAACAGCCAGAGGCGATTACTACCCTGTTTACCGGGACAAACTGCCCAAAATATCGCCAAGGGTATTCAGTGTGTGTGGGACATCCATGCGAGAAACAGGATTTGCTTGCGGTTGGAGAACTAGCAGGGTCTTTCGAGTGTGGTCGTTGGTGCGCCTCTCGTTTTGGTGGGGATCTGGGTGCTTTGTGTTGACGAGGCGTGTCCTTGGTGATCATCTGAAAAAGAAGCGCTTCAGCTCGGGGTCGTTAGATATTGTGTTTCATTCATGACTGGTAAAAAAAATAAGACCTCGAGTGATATGAGCAGTTGCAGCAGGTGAAAAAAAAAAAAATCGTTGACTTTATTCCCGCGAGGATGTGCTTACGCGTGTTATTGTACTCACTGTGGGCGACCTCGATGCTCTATGCGCCAGGCTCAGCGTCCCCTTCAAATTTCCTCTCGAGGATATACTTCGCCGAAGGGACCACCAGCCCGAGGTTATCTCCGTACATCGACCTGACCGCCCTCGACGCCGGCCCAGCAAACGACCTCCTCGGCCGAGTGAAAGCGAGCCTCCGAACGGCCGGGAACGGCGCCGATCGACGCGACAACTCGAGGTCTTTTCCGGCCAGCCGCGGGAGCAATGCCTTCGCCACGTCAGGAGCGAAGAAGTCCCACATGGGCGTCTCGGAGATGCTGCAGAGGGCCATAGACGACATCGTGGAGAAGAAGGACCACACTTTCGCCTCCGTGTTGTCGCACCATCTGAGGTACCTGGAGGAGAACCTCGTCAGCGGAGAAAGGGCCGGGGACCTGGTGGACGTGGAGGCGCTCTTGCGGTTGGGCGAGGCGGGGAATTCATCGTCGGTCGTCCAGCTTCCTCTGGACTACCACGACGACGACGACGACATCGACTACGAGGCTCTAGGTAACGTGGCACCAGTGGTTTCGATAACTAAGTGGCAGAGGTTTAGGTAAACGCCACATCAGTAAAAAAAAAAAAAAAGGTAAACACTTGGTCATTCGTTATAAAGTTTTTAACTTCTAAAACAGTAACTATTCGCTGCTTGAAAAATCTATTAGTTTATGGATAACGGTTGTAGGTATGAGTAATATAAATACATTGCGGACAATATATAGTATAAGGTAGTGGCAGAGTTGGGTAATAAAACCTACATGAAATGATAGAACAATACAAACCAAGACAAAGTTATTCTATGGCAATATGTGTGCAAATGCTTCCCAAGGGCGCTAGATATATATATTACCCCGGGGGACCAGGGGGCAGAGCCCCCTGGCTAGGGAATATATACCACGGTGTTAGGTTGGATGTTGGGTTAGGTCGCCCATTTGCACAAGGAACAATGCCTAGAATCGTTGAAAGCAGTGGATTTCATGCAGAAAAATATCAAAATTGTTTCGAAAGTAACCCATCTTCTTCCCTTTTCTTTTACATATAGCACCCTTGGGAAGCATTGCACACATATTGCCATAGAAGAACTTTGTCTTGGTGTGTATTGTTCTATCATTTCATGTAGGTTTTATTACCCAACTCTGCCACTACCTTATACCACATATTGACCTACATTGCTTCCAGTGAGTGAATTTAGCTACTGTTACAGAGAGCTACGTACGGAGATAGAGGGAAATGGACACTGCCATCTCATAGAGCATAAAAATAGAGTAGGAGGCACAAAATGATGATAAAGGGGGTGTAGGGGAGTAAATAAAATGTATCAAAGGTTAGGGTTGGATTTTGGGTTCGGATGTTATCCTGGATTTGGGATTTCGTCTGCGGAGGGGCGGCGCTCGCGGTAACAGAGGCCAGGAGAGGGAGGAAGAGCGAGAGAAATGAGAGGGAGAGCGAGAGAGAGATTGAGAGAGATTGAGAGAGATTGAGAGAGATTGAGAGAGATTGAGAGAGATTGAGAGAGATTGAGAGAGATTGAGAGAGATTGAGAGAGAGAGAGAGATATTGAGAGAGAGAGAGAGATTGAGAGAGAGAGAGAGAGAGAGATATTGAGAGAGAGAGAGATATTGAGAGAGAGAGAGAGATATTGAGAGAGAGAGAGATATTGAGAGAGAGAGAGAGAGATATTGAGAGAGAGAGAGATATTGAGAGAGAGAGAGATATTGAGAGAGAGAGAGATATTGAGAGAGAGAGAGATATTGAGAGAGAGAGAGATTGAGAGAGAGAGAGAGAGATTGAGAGAGAGAGAGAGAGATTGAGAGAGAGAGAGAGAGAGAGATATTGAGAGAGAGAGAGAGAGATATTGAGAGAGAAAGAGAGAGAGAGATATTGAGAGAGAGAGAGAGATATTGAGAGAGAGAGAGATATTGAGAGAGAGAGAGAGAGATATTGAGAGAGAGAGATATTGAGAGAGAGAGAGAGATATTGAGAGAGAGAGAGAGATATTGAGAGAGAGAGAGAGAGATATTGAGAGAGAGAGAGAGAGATATTGAGAGAGAGAGAGAGATATTGAGAGAGAGAGAGAGAGAGAGATATTGAGAGAGAGCGAGAGAGAGATATTGAGAGAGAGCGAGAGAGAGATATTGAGAGAGAGAGAGAGAGAGAGATATTGAGAGAGAGAGAGAGAGAGAGATATTGAGAGAGAGAGAGAGAGAGATATTGAGAGAGAGAGAGAGAGAGATATTGAGAGAGAGAGAGAGAGAGATATTGAGAGAGAGAGAGAGAGATATTGAGAGAGAGAGAGAGAGAGATATTGAGAGAGAGAGAGAGAGAGATATTGAGAGAGAGAGAGAGAGAGATATTGAGAGAGAGAGAGAGAGAGATATTGAGAGAGAGAGAGAGAGAGATATTGAGAGAGAGAGAGAGAGAGATATTGAGAGAGAGAGAGAGAGATATTGAGAGAGAGAGAGAGAGAGATATTGAGAGAGAGAGAGAGAGAGATATTGAGAGAGAGAGAGAGAGAGATATTGAGAGAGAGAGAGAGAGAGATATTGAGAGAGAGAGAGAGAGAGAGAGATATTGAGAGAGAGAGAGAGAGAGAGAGAGATATTGAGAGAGAGAGAGAGAGATATTGAGAGAGAGAGATATTGAGAGAGAGAGAGAGAGATATTGAGAGAGAGAGAGAGAGATATTGAGAGAGAGAGAGAGAGAGAGATATTGAGAGAGAGAGAGAGAGAGAGATATTGAGAGAGAGAGAGAGAGAGAGAGATATTGAGAGAGAGAGAGAGAGATATTGAGAGAGAGAGAGAGAGATATTGAGAGAGAGAGAGAGAGATATTGAGAGAGAGAGAGAGAGATATTGAGAGAGAGAGAGAGAGATATTGAGAGAGAGAGAGATATTGAGAGAGAGAGAGATATTGAGAGAGAGAGAGATATTGAGAGAGATATTGAGAGAGAGAGAGAGAGATATTGAGAGAGAGAGAGAGAGATATTGAGAGAGAGAGAGAGAGATATTGATATATATATATATATATATATATATATATATATATATATATATAGAGAGAGAGAGAGAGAGAGAGAGAGAGAGAGAGAGAGAGAGATTGATATATATATATATATATATATATATATATATATATATATATATATATATATATATATATATATATATATACAGAGAGAGAGAGAGAGAGAGAGAGAGAGATTGAGAGAGATATTGAGAGAGAGAGATATTGAGAGAGAGAGAGAGATTGAGAACTTTCTCTCTCTCTCTCTCTTTCTCTTTCTCTTTCTCTTTCTCTTTCTCCCTCCCTCCCTCTCTTCCTTCCTTCCTTCCTTCCTTCCTTCCCACCCCATTTACTCCTCTTACCCCTTCGTCTCCCCCCCCCCCCCACCAGGATGCGGCGTGAAGAACGTGGCAGCCAGGATTCTCGGAGGCTACGTGGCAGGCGTAGGGGAGTGGCCGTGGCAGGCAGCGCTCGTTCACGCCCCGTCAGGAAGGACCTTCTGTGGCGCCTCCCTCCTCAACACCCGCTTCCTCCTCACCGCCGCCCACTGCGCTGCCGTGTGAGTGCTCGCGTTGCTTGGGTTGGTTGGGTTGCGGGCGTGAGGGTTGGTTGTTATATATTAGCTTCTTTTTTTTCTTCTTCTTTTTTTAGGGTTTTTGTGAAAATTGTTTGTAGTGTTTTTCAGGTTCTGTGTTTGCATGTTTGATTTCATAACCTATCTCTTCCTTTATTTCACTTGTTTTGGTTATCTTGCCTTTTTTTCGTTCTTCGACTAGTTCTCGTCATTTTACCTCTTCTGTCGTTCATTTGTTTTGTTTTTTTGTTCTCGTCACCGCAGTTCCTCTTTCCTTCACTCGCTTTGCCCCCCCCCCCTCCTTTCCTTGCTCCCTCCCTCGTTCCCCCCCCCCCCTTTCGACGTCTCTCTCCATCTTACTTTTCGTCGCTTCTCTCTCGCCCGCAGACTCCCCGTCAGGAAGGTGAGGGTCTGGCTGGGCGCCCACGACGTCTCCCTGCCGGAGGAGGAGGGGCGCGTGGTGCGAGGAGTGACCCACGCCATCCTCCACGAGGGCTTCGACTCCCGGGACCTCAGCAACGACGTGGCGCTCCTGAGGCTGGACGAGGCGGTGGTCATGTCCCGCGCCGTGAGACCTGTCTGCCTGCCCGACGTCCGTGAGTGCAGGCCGAGGGGTTTGGGCCGTTTATTTTGTGTTTAAAGGGAGTTTAAACAGTTTGTTTTGTGTGTGGGTAGTTTGTTTTATGTTTTTCGAATTTGTTTTGTGTATTTGAATTTATTTTTTTTGTTTGTTGATTTTTTTCCTTTTTTTTGTTATATGTTCTATAGTTTTAAGTTATCTATATTAATATTTTTTTATGTTGATTTAATTTGTTTTTGTTTATTGAGTTTGTTTTTTCTTGTTTATTGAATTTGTTTTAACTTGTTTGTTTTATGTTGCTATAGTTTGTTACAAATTATTTCTTGACTTTGTGTGATTTGTTCACTGCGTTCGCGTTAACATTATTTTGGAGTTCATTTGGACTTATTAAGATCGTTTTAACTTGTTTATGGGGTGTGGATAGAAATGTTTTCATTAATTTCTCCTTGTTAAAACACGCTGTATTCTGAGGCAGTCTCTCTTCTCTTAAAGATAATATGATGATTTTTAGTTATAAAGCATTGACTTCGCAGGTCGATTCGGTGTTGCATATTGAAGAATGAATGCCTATAATAACCTTGTTAAAAGAGCAGCTCTTATTCAACGAGTGACATTGATAAGAATACTTTGACCACTATTTTCAAAGTGGCCTCCAGATGCAGTCCAGTTGGATTTATTAACACTAAGGCTACAGTTACTTTTATATATTTTGTAATCACAGTATAACGACAGGCATGTGTTAATTTCCCGTCGTCTTCTGCAGAGGACTGGGACGAGGACATCGCCCAGGGCAAGAGCGACGATGCAGGCGTGGTCACCGGCTGGGGTCTCACTGCAGAGCGGGGGCAGCCCTCTCCTCACCTTCTGCAGGTAAATTGTACTCTGGCTCGTATATTGGGTTTAGCATTTCGCAGGGTTTCCCCGAACGCATCTTGGGGTATTTGTATGTGTGTGTGTGTGCGTGTGCGGGTGTCTGTGTCTGTGTGTCTGTGTGTGGCCTGTGTATAACTGGTTGTAGCAGTCTGTTCGTTCATTTCTCCCGTTGTATCCCATTGTGATTGTTCAGCCATCGATTTTGATCACTCGTAGTGTTATATGGCATTACTCTATTCATGATTCAGTAATTGATTTATTATTCAACACTTTATTCACGAATTATTTCATCTGATTTTTCCACGATTCATTCTTTTATACATCACTTCATCTACATCTTTAATTTGCTCTTGAATTAATCACACGGTCGACTCTCCACCAGGTCAGCCTTCCATTCCTTAGCGTGGAGTCATGCAAGCAACACTACGCAGGTATTAACCCAGTATCAGCCAACATGCTATGCACTCTGCATGATTTTAAGGACGGTGTTAGTCGCGATTCGTGTAAGGTGAGTATTTGTTTAAAGTATTTTTTGTGTGTCTTTGGGTGAGAGGGAGATTATTGCATGTATCGGTTAGAAGGAGCTTTGTTGAAATGAGGTGAATATGATTTTTAAGAATAGCTATAAAGATAGGTAAATTAGATAGGTTAGGTCAGCATACTAAGATGCGCGTCTTTTCTTCTTTGTTGTTGTTAAGAATAGTTATAAAACATATGAATTAGATTAGGGAAATGTATTTAGATTTGTTTCTTTTATTAGCTTTTAAAAAGCATTATCAAAATTATACGGTTTATGATAAAAATAACACCATCGATTTTCATAGCACTAGTGAAAAATACGTTTTTCCCGCCATTTAAATCAGGCGCTAGCAGAGCCATCTATCGGCAGACATTTCACGAAAAACATAGAAAGTGGGCACAGCATTTTCTCCATTTTTTGTTAATTTTCCCCGGCGGCATTGGGTTAAGCAAATGAAATACTACAAAAGTGATTACAGTTTGTAAATAAAAACGAATGGAAATAAAATAATTGACAAAAAAATATATATAGATAAAATTAATAGAGAGAAGTAAAATCTCAGTCTCAGGACATTTAAATATTATCTTAGAGCCCATTACTCACTTTTTCAAACCGTCCTTTGCTCAGTTATTGATACATGGGCATTTAACTGTTTGTACATACATACACACATGCATACATCCATATATACATATGCCTACAAATATATACACGCATACACATATATGCGCCTCTTGCATAATTCTTGTTATTTGCTTCATGCTTTATTCACGAACAACTTCTACTCAGACATATTCAGTGATAATTTAAATATATATATATATATATATATATATATATATATATATATATATATATATATATATATATATATCCTTTACTAACTATACACAGATTCAACAAACATCCCTCACTAATCAAACACAAACAGACTTTAACAAACGTAATTTTAACAAGCATCCCCCACCAATCAGCCACAAACAAACATTTTAACAAACATCCCCTACCAATCAGCCACACCCAGACTTAATTTCAGCAAATATTAACGATTATCATCCTGATTAGGGAGACTCCGGCGGCCCACTGGTGACGGAGGGGGAGAGCGGCCGCTGGACCCAAGTCGGGGTCGTGAGTTTCGGCTACGGATGCGGACGTCGGGGTTACCCAGGGGTGTACACCCGGGTGACGCAATACCTCCTGTGGATCTACCTCAAGATAGTGCAGATGGAAATATCTCTGCTGTGA